CGGCGCTAGTCGTGGCTCGAAGCATGTGCGCGTGCAAGGTGGGGACCGGGGGACGTGCTGAAAGGATCGGGGGGGCGTGGGAAGGTGGGGCAGGGGCAGAGGTGGGCTCAGAGGTAGATCGCTCCACAGGACCCCCCAACGAAGTAAACAGGAGCATCCAGGTGGGTGCGCTCCCGGACCCCACCTCGGGAGACCCCCCCCCTCTACGAGGCCCCAAGAGAAGGAAAGAGGGGGCCGCGACATCCGTGGGACATCATGGCCCCGCCGTGAGATCCGCACACACACACACACACTGGTCCTCCTCCTCCTCCTCCTCCTCCTCCTCCTCCTCCTCCTCCTTCCTCCTCCTCCTCTCCTCCCTCCTCCTCCTCCTCCTCCTCATCCTCCTCCTCCCTCCTCCTCCTCCTCCTCCTCTCCTCCTCCTCCTCTCCTCCTCCTCCTCCTCCTCCTCCTCCTCCTCCTCCTCCTCCTCCTCCTCCCTCCTCCTCCTCCTCCTCCTCCTCCTCCTCCTCCTCCTCCTGACGCCCGGTGGTTTTCGGGTCACGCCTCGGGCCTCCGGCGGCCGCTCGGGGCGGTCCGGGCGCCCCAGGAACAAAAGCTCTCGACGAGGCGCAGCCGCTGGAGAGCATCCCGAGACGGGGAGACCTCCGCGAGCCAACGAACGCCTCCGAACTCCTCGGAGGAACACCAACGAACTCCAACGAACGCCAACGAACTCCTCGGAGGAACACCAACGAACGCCTCCTCCGAACTCCAACGAACGCCAACGAACGCCTCCGAACGCCTACGAACGCCCCCCTCTTGGACAAGTCCGATCTGATCTGATCCGCCCACGGCCACAGAAGTCTCGGCTGTTTCCCCTGGTGAGCTCGAAACCAGCCCCGGAGGCCGAGATCGAAGAAAAACGCACGGGCGCAAAAACCATCTCGTCGGAAATAAAAGGGGCCCTGGGACACACAAATAAGTAGACACAGATCCCAGGATTCCCTCTATTTCCCCATATTCTCTGGGCTCTGCGTCTTCCCTCCCCTTCCCACAGATTCCCACATGTTCCTGGGAGTCGACGAGTCATGGTACCCGTGCTGTTTACCCTCCTGCGGAAATCTGGGCCGACGTGTTCCGTCGCCGCGCGGCAGGGGGCCATCCGCACGCGGCGCTCCTGCAGCCGAAGGAGGGCACGGCACACGAGCTCACTGGCGGCGACAGAAAAGATAAAGGAAGGGACGGCCGCGGAAAACAGGCGGGGGATGAGGAGGAGGAGGAGGAGGAGGAGGAGGAAAAGGAGGAGGAGGAGGAAAGAGGAGGAGGAGCAGGAGGAGGAGGAGGAGGAGGAGGGGGAGGGGGGGGAGGGGGGAGGGGGGGGAGGAGGAAAGGAGCGCACTCGAGATCTGGGTCCACACACCACCACTCTCGGGGGCGCGCAGACGTGGATTAGCGATCCATGGACTTGGCGCGCGGTCGCCAAATCCATGGATCGGGGGAGGTGCCCTCCCCAAAATGCGGCCGGTGCCGCCTGGTTAGGCGGCGGACATCCACGATTTCCCATGGAAACGGGACCCGTCGCTACTCCACGCCCCCTTGATCTATGTTTGCGATCGCCTGATACTTGGATCATCGCTGCAGTTGCTGAGGGGATAGGGGCGTTCCAAGTGGATACCAAAGTGGGTTACACCTGCCCTACACCTAACATATAAGTGGGTTGGAAGTGCCCCGAGCAGTGCAGGGGGGCAAAGATCTGAGCAACGCGGGCGGAGCCCACTTCGCGAAGTTACCAAGCCCCTTTAAGCTGAACGACTGGAGCCGTTACAATCCATTCATTACCCAGGCTAGGCCAGGTATAGCCCGCCGTGGCATCAACTTAGAATCCTCCTTTGGCAACCCCCGCGCCAATCCGAGCAGTCCCGGGGCCCGGCGAGGGCCCCAATGTGCCGAAAACGGCCGCCAGAGACTGTCCATCGCGACTGCGTTCACGACGCGAAGATGTCTGGGCAGTTCTCGCCCCCCCCCCTCCTGGACGACCCCAGCCTGTGGTTGCGGGCGTCCGACAACAATAAAACAGGGATAGGATCGGGATAACTCGCTCCAGAGCGTTCCGGAGCGCTCTCAGAGCGTTCCGGAACGCTCTGGAGCGGCCGCGGCGCCCAATACATCCTCCAAACCCGCCGATTCTCAGAGATTTCGAGTTATCCCGATCCGACTTTGTCCCGATCTTCGAGTCGCTTTACCTGGACGACCCCAGCCTGTGGTTGCGGGCGTCCGACAGCAAGTGCTCTCCGGCGGCGGATGCGTTCCAAGACCGGCACCGGCAGCTGCCGGGCAGACGGCCCTCTGCCTCAGTGGACGGCGCCCTCGGCGGCACCGACAGCGAGCCCTGCCGAGAGCACGGGAGCTGCTGTCGGGCGTGGAGGCGGCCCCGGGGCCCGAGCTGGGCATGCCCGCAGAGAAATCTGTCAAGCAAGGGGATATGGAGGTGTACGGTGTCCCCCGGGGCCGCAGGCGA